GCTCACAGCTCAGAGCCTGGAGCCTGCTTCAGACTCTGTGTCTCTCTGCCTCTCTGCCCCTCCCCTGCTCTCTCAAAAATAAATAAACATTAAAAAAATTTTTTTTTTAAAGTACATCACAGAGAAGAATAAAAAGAATTTCCTCTATAAAACTGTCCCCGATCTATGGAAGTGCCTATGTCGGGAGACAACTCCCACAGATCTCTACCGTTGTCCACATCGTGCAAGCAGAGGCACAGTCTTTTTTCCAGACTGTGTTTCCAAAGATGTTTGTATAGCAAATAGCCTTGGAAGGGAGAAATAAGGTCTCCCTCTGGAGCGAAGCACAGACATGTTTACCGCCTATTATGAAAGATCCTATTATGGATCTGTACACTTGGGGGTCCTCTCTTGTGACTCAACCTACTGCATGTAGGGCGTCATCTGACCCTCTTCGCGTTACACTACAGGACTAGTGCTCGGAGAACCAACAAATTGATGATATTCCAACAACTGCTACTTTCCCCGTGTCTGATCCGGGAGTTGGGTGTCCTCTACCAGCATCCATAAACCAGGCACAGCTAACTTCTTAGCTTGCCGTCACAGTTCTTGACGCATATATTTGTGAACGTGTTTCTTTAAGCCATTTTTAAATTGCAAAAGGCAGTGGATTTTCTCACCTACCCCACTCCAACCACTGGCCTATCAACCAACCGCTGGAGCTTCTCCACTTACAAGCGATAGAGACGATCGCTCCTGTCCTCGTCAATCCTTGCTAAAATATAGAAACACACATTTCCCTTGAAGACAAAATAAAACCTTTGCTCTCCGCAAAGAGCATGATATGTTCAGGGAGAAAAATCAGCGAGGCCAAGTTCTAAGAGAATGAAAAACCAAGCACCTGCAAAACGGCCCAGCCAAGCACATCTGGCAAAAGCGTCTGTAGGGAAGGGGAAAATGGAATAGGAAAATGCTCCCATAGTCCAAGGTTGGGGTCTCAGAAGTGAATAATCCACCTCCCCTCCCCAAGCATAAGAATGACATTTGATTAATCCAGAAAAGAAAATCAATCTGCCCCACGGACTGCATGGACAGCTGTGCTGTGTGAGCAGACAGTGTTTCCAGGTTTATTGGCAGGGTACCTAGAGCAGGACCTCTGGGGATTTGTCCATCTCAAAATAAAGCTGGCATGATTTGCAGAGTAATGCTCTTGGAGATGAAGTTGATGGTTTTAGGCTGCAGCCTAAGAGGACGGTTGGCTAGGAAAAAAGAATTACTGACAGGGACAGCGAGGCAGGACACATTGCCTAAAAGTCCCTGCATTTCCTTCAAAGTCTTTACAGTTGGGATTGATTCTCACTGGCTGGGATGCAAACTGCTTTCAGATTCTGCAGATCTGGATACTTGGAAACTCCCTGCCCCGGCTAAAAGCCATGTTGCACCAGCTTGCAGGCTCAGGCACAAAGTGACCTCTCCAAGTGCTTTTGAAGGGAAGAAATGTGAAAGAGGAGAACATACGGGAACTTACCCAATGGTCGGGCTGATGTTGTGGTCAAAGTGATCCTGTACAAATCGACACACAATGCTTGATTTCCCAACCCCGGTGTCCTGGAAAAGAATGAGGACAGAGCCATGAAGACCAAGGGTATCAGTTCTAACCTAGTATAATACACCTAGAACCAGAGAGCAGGAAAGGCTATTTCTGGTTGGTGGGAGTAGGGGAGGATACTCTCCTCTGTTTCTTACCAGTATTTTCCATAATGAAACTGTATTGCTTTCATAGAAAAAAAAGAAGTATGGTAAAAATAAGCTTTAGAAACACGTCCCCTAGGTTAATAATTAACCTAGAATTGGCATGGTTACAATATATGTATTTCCAGAAATTTGAACATGTTTGAAAGGGCCTGGAGAAGTATGGTAAACACAATGCATTGTTTTGGTAGAGATAGAACTGATTTTGTTCCAAACCTTAACACTCGAAAACTATGTAATCTATTTTTCTGGGTATCACCCTGTAAGACCTATGAATGCTAATTTCTGCATTTCTAGCACTTTTTCTTCAGAATCTGATGGCTGCATAGTAACCTCCAATTTTGCTTAATTATATAAAGGTCTCATCTCAGTGCTTTCCCTGTTAAATAATTCTTTAAAGCTGATTAGGATAGGGGCGCCTGGGTGGCGCAGTCGGTTAAGCGTCCGACTTCAGCCAGGTCACGATCTCGCGGTCCGTGAGTTCGAGCCCCGCGTCAGGCTCTGGGCTGATGGCTCAGAGCCTGGAGCCTGTTTCCGATTCTGTGTCTCCCTCTCTCTCTGCCCCTCCCCCGTTCATGCTCTGTCTCTCTCTGTCCCCAAAATAAATAAACGTTGAAAAAAAAAATTTTATAATAAAAAGCTGATTAGGATAGAGGTCTATTATATACTGGAAATGGAACACATGCATTTATATCCACTCCCTCCAAAACCCTTGTCAAATGGTTTAAGGAATAAAAGGTACAAATTCACAAGGTCAAACAAATCTGGAGACGAGACAACACCAGACAACTGACGTCAACCAAAAGCATGTGGCCAAGTGGTCACTGCGAAAGAAGCAGCTGGAGCCCTCAGGGCCGCCAGGGAGGAGAGCCACTGAGAAGCAAGACAATTCATGCCACAGAATCCCTGAAGGAATCAGGAACTGGAGGACAAGGCTGAAAACAGCATCAGCTGAAAGGCTGCACAAAAACATACCCTTGGTGCCCCTGGCCACAAAACCAGAGGCCAGACCCTCCTGAACCCCAGGAGGAGGTGGGAGCTGGGTCTCCAGTAAATCTGTATCAGACAGGGCTGGGCTTGGGAGCTTGCGACCCCCGTTGCCCTTTGTGAGCCCAGACAGAAGAGGTGAGGCGTCCCCTCCGGGTAAGAGGAAAATCCTACAGATCCTGATACTTGGAGCCACCCAACTAAAAGCCATGTTGCACTACTAGACTACAAACCCCAGTGCAAACAGACCTTTCAGCGCACATTTTAATCTTTTAAAAATAAACGCTCAGCTAAGAAAGACCAGATGTTTATACCCACACAAAAAAAGAGTAGGATACTATTTCAGAAGATTATTCAGAGAGTAAGACTGACCTTAGAGATTAACAATACAATGGTAGAAGTGGAAATTTCAAAGGAAGAGGTATAAGGTAAAATCCGAGATTGCCCAGAAAGTAGAACATACTAGAACAAAGCAACTGGCCTCAGCTGCAGGTCACTGCTCTTCTGAGAGGGGTGGCAAGGCACAAAGACGCCAGATTCACAGTCTACTGACACAGAGAAGGCCTCCTCAACACGTTGCTTATCTGAAAGATCATGGGGACATTTTGAGATCTATAAGTGAACGGGCAACAAGACATAGCCCAAGAAGAACAAATAGCGGTATGGTTCTCCTCTATTAAAGGTGTAGATTTGAAAGCCTAAAGATCCCGAGGAAATGCTGAAACTTGGGAAAACGTGCTTTTCCTTACACTGTGATGTGAAGTGAGATCTGAAATACCAGCTGGAAAGCTGAGTTATTTTTATTCCTCACCCCCCGTGCTTAGGGGACAATTCCAGCCAACATAGAGCAAGAGGGGCCCCAGCTTGTGACACTCATCAGAAGATCACTGTCCCAAAGGTGTCCTATCCCAGTGAGAGTGGCCTTCACTGGTTATGAGCCATACTGAAAAAAAGCCCCAAAGCCGCTTATCGGCAGCATGCACAGCGACGCGCAGAGTTCAGAGAGGTGGCGACAGAATTAAAACATCAGCTCCTCGGATTCCAGATCAATATGCCGCTGCTATTTCTGAGCTAAGCCTTCCGCATGGATTCCGGCTAACATGCCTCACGGTTCCCCAAAACCCACAACTCCACTCAGTTGTTTTCATCTCCGTTGCTTTTAACCACCCTCTGCCCCACCCCCCTGCCCCGTGGAGGAGGGGATCTTGCAGTCCCTTCGGCCCATGCAACCCCAGAGAAACTGCAAAGCCAGGGGTGGTGCTGCCCTGCCCTTGAAGAGAAGGAAAACGCGCTCTCATGCTCTCACGAGGCGAACTTGAAGTCTCACGAGGCGAACTGCTCTCTGCAAACACCCGGGTAGATGGCTACCGCTAACCACGCTGATCTGTATTTTTACATATTTTATGTCCCCAAGCTCACAGTCGGAACTCCTCCACCCCGCAGAGACGGGTCTCAGGTTTATTATCTCACAAAGAATGCCAAAGGATTCATCTCTGCCGTCTGTGCACCCCACCCGTGGTGGGGAGGCAGATTGATGCGAGCGCCTGTCCCCTCCCTCTCTAGCATCTCTCGACCACAGCGTAGGAATCCTCTTTCTCCGGCTCTTCACTGGTCCTCCCACAGCCGGGAGAGGTGCCTGGCGGAGGGGGTACCCGCACACCCAGGTGCGCAGGACTGCTCTGCCCCGGGCTCAGGTGACAAATCCGCCCCTCCCGAGTTTTGCCCCGATCAGGCCTTCTTTGGTGTCCTTTTGGCTTACCCCCAAGCTCACCCTGCTTCCAAGCTGAGAAAAACCACCCCTCTGGAACACCTCCAGTTTTCACCAGCCCCCAGAGGCCCTACCCCCTGTAACCACCGTGGCACTTACTCTCTGTGACTGGCCCTCGGCCTAGAGGGCTTTGGCGAGACTGTGCATGTCACAGTGAGGACTCTGCTCTAGAAAGCCCGTTTTGGGTGTCGACCCTTTCACTTTACCCAAGGGCCCTGCTCAAAACAACCAGCTCCAGATCCCCAACAGCCCCCATGATCCTGCAAGGCGAACCCTCAAAATGCCCTTGAGGATGAAAAAACTCAAAAGCCATCTGGAAATGATTCCTTTCGACTCATCCTCTTCTACTGATAACTCGGGCTTAAAATACCAGCTTTCCTGAAGAGTTAAAGCAGCAAGCCTGCTCAAATTCAGATTGAATAGTTCATTTTCCAGCCAAACGCACTCAGTGTTTCTTTTCTTTTTACAAACTCGCTCTCAAAATTTCCCTCGACAGGAAAAGAAATGAAAGGACAAAAGGATAGGCAAGGTTTTAGTCGGTCTCAGAAAAGGCGGTGTTCTTACAAAGAACTGCTTCAAGTAATCTTCTGTGGCCAGTGGCTTTGTGACGCTCCAGAAGTGGCCAGCTGTTCCCCAGCTGGCCACCAGGGGAAGGCCCTGCTCCAGGTTTGCTGAGGGAGCCTGCCGCCGGGAGACAGGGCCGTGTCATGAATCACTGGGCTTTGGGAGTTCCTTTTCCTGCAGGAACCTCGCTGGCACGGTGACACACAACCGCAAGAGGAAAACGCCAGTGAGTCATGACTGTCGCATGGGATAACATAAAGGTTTAAAGCAGGAAAAGCGGAAAGCATACCAGGGGAAGAAGGGCATCTGAAGAGAGAGAGGATGAGAGAGGGGGACCACGGCTGCCCACCATTCTCCAAAGGCTACTTTATTTTTAGTGGACTTACACGGACGGAAGGAAACTCATCTCTGCCGATATTTTTCCATTTCGTAAGACTAGGAGACTAGCATAGTCCATCTTGTCCAGTCTCTTAGGTTTGCAAAAGAGGAAGCTGTGTGACTTCCTCAGAGTCACACAGCTGGCTGGTCGAGTCAGAACCTAATTTTCTGAGCTCCAGTGAAATCCCCCTGAGGCTCTTACCAGGTTCAAATCAACCTCCCTGGCAAATGTAAGTTTCTTGCCCACAAAGTCCATTTTCTAGAACTCGCAAGGAGGACTTGTATTACTGCCTTTCACTGTAGCAACGTGTGTCCTCCAAATAAACCTGCTGGGGTTTTTACCTGTAATAAAAGGCGGACATACCACCAGCTACTGAAGAAGCACTAGAATAAAACCAGTCCTGATTCCACAAACCAGGAATAAGGTTTAGTAGAATCCTCCCTTGGGGGTAATCAGTGTTTTGTTGTACTCTCGTTTGTGTGGTTGATATCAGACACAGGCTGAGGCCTAGCGATGGGTTCCATCTTCTTAAAAGGGAAATGCACCCCTTAAAAGATATTTTCTGGGGCTAATAATGCAATCCCCTGAGAACCACCACTTACTCTAACATGACAGTCTCTGCTGTTCGAACTGTCACATTTATTAATCACACGTAAATCTGTAGTTATGAAATCACCAACCACAAACTTGCAGCTGCTATCATGTAAAACACGAGGCATCCATTTGCTTCACTCCCGGACTATTGCAACAGGCTTCAAGGAAGCATTCCTACGTCTCCAGAAAAAGAAGGGAAGGTCCGAGGCAACGTTAGCACCACTGCTAATCCTGCTCTAATGGAAGACATCACTAATCAGTTGAGGACATGTTATTTTATTGAACCTGAAAAAGGCCTCCAAATCTCTTCAGCCCAGCTCTGCAGGCAGTCCGTAGGACTCAAACAAGGTGTGTTTCCAGAACAAATGGCCATCCCCTACCGTTGCCCTTCTCTTCCCAACAGTCAACATGCTCCTATGTTCTCCTCCTCTCCAAACTCACTAAGCACTGTCCTGTGGGTGTTTTAGATGTCTTTACGAGTAGGAAGGGTTTTTTTTTTTTTTGGAAATTAAGAAGGAACGCACATTGGTGACAGCATTATAAGCCAACATGCCTTCTATGGAA